CCAATCTATACCTGACGTATGCCAGATGAACCTGAATAATGGGATATACCTACTCTCTCAGTACCCATTAGACTGATGCAAAATCCATTAGCCCCAAATCGGGCACGACTAGCCCCCAAAAAAAAAACCCGAACCCATCCGGTAAGAGAATGACACGACACGAAAACCAAACATTCTGCTGATATCCATCCATCAATTTACCGTATCGCTCCGCTTGAAAAACAATAACTGAGCCTGAAGCAAACTCTCTCAGCCACAACTCTGTGTAAGACCACTTTTCGATAGAATGTAAGCATCAAAAGCTATTAATGATCCAAGCAACTACCGCCCCATGATTATGCTCAATCAACTGTCCAGCAGGCAACACTGGTGTTTCAGGCGCGTAGAATAAAGCACAAAATCATGGCTACTATGTCACACTGCAGAACACAGTGTCGCCCACAAAACAGCAGCCCGATCATGCCACAAGACTATCAATCCCTATATTCTGCAAAGTTGTAGCTGAGAAAATTCTCCACAAGAACAGCCACAGAGCTTTCGAACAGTGCAACACGGAAAAGGCCAAAAGGCAATGAACACGAAGTCCGAATACCCCACAGAAACCCCCATACAAACCTTCAACAGCCTGCTTCAAGCCAGTCCCCCACTGAACGAGTCCAAGCCCCGCGAGGCCAATCAGGACCCGACCCGGGACCGTCCGAACACTGTGGAGCGAAAATGTATCTCCAAAACAAATCTTCACATACTCTGAGTAATCGTATCCCACCAAGTAAAAGCAGGTCTACCTCTCTTTTTGTGTGGTAATCTATACTAAGCAGCCAGCTTGAGCAAATGATTATCAGGGCTTCTTATAATGTGTCCCCAATTCCTTAACATAAAAATAATAGTAAACCTCAATTTCATATTATTGGTCACAGAAAAAAATTACAAGGTACTTCTGTCGATGGCCTTAAATACATTCAAGCTAAATATGTGATATATTGTTCAATTTCACTAAATTTTTAATTTCTTGCGACAACGGATCTACGATCATGCGACCGAACTCAATTTTAGCTGATATTTTAGAAAATTCTGATTAACAACCATTTCACTTATATGATAACCAAATTTTCAAATATTCTTCATGGTATTTGAGTAGTCATTGTCACTTGCCCATAACTGTGTAACTAAATAATAGAACATACAAACTTATGGACTCATCTGTTTCTTGAGGCTTTAAATTTGGTGAGGAATAACGTTAATGATACGGACATGTGTAACAGAAGCCAATTACTTAAATGTATTCGTTAAATTCATTTAGTTCATTATGAATATTTTTGTCAGACCCTCAAATGATTTAGATAATATAATTTTATTTATTTCTTAGATTTTAAATGGATTCACAAAATATTTGTCTTCACCCAGCTACTCACCACAAAATAATATCAATTTTGTATTTGTTTGCGCATAGAATTCTTCATGCCTCCTAAGTTTTTGGCATATTCCTCAAGCCGGAGGTTTAAATGAAAATCGATGCACAATTTTATCTAGGGTAAATTATGGCTTCGGCACCCATTGACTGTTTTCGGCAACCAAAATTGAAACGTTTATTTCACTGTATTTTCCCATCAAAACTCTTCGCTGAATGTATTAAGCCGATTCCTTACCTTTTCAGCTTCAATCTGATTACATTTTTACGACTGTGAATTCCTATTATACCATATTTTTCTTTAAATGAAACATACATACTACAAAATACGGCTGATTTCGAGTTGCCGATAATAGAACAGCTGGTTAATACGCAGTTCAAATGGAAAGTGTGCCGAAGAAAAAGAGACTGCCGACAATAGTCACTCTCACCTGAGAAGTTTGGAGCGTTGTAAAAACATGTTCAACCCGTTTTGATCAATTCTGTCGATTGGAATTGGTAGAACAGCAAGCAGCAGATAAATGTCAACAAACAAACCTGTCATGTATGTGTGTGATGCTGATAAATCGCTAATAGAAGTTCGGACGCTGCTTAGATTGACGAGAATACGTAAATTCCCCTATATTCATCCTGCTTCAAAATATGTCCGGATAGTTACAACAAACATGTTTATGGATGCTGCAGGATGCTTTTTTCAAGCCGTTTGGAAAATTTCCCAACGTTAACGTTAATATGCATATTGCATGGGGTTAGATGCATATTCGCTGTCCGGAGGCCACCATATTGGATGGTCTGCCATCTTGAAATACAGATTGGCGGCGGATGCAAATTTTCCATTTCTACTCATCGAGCCCACTAACCCATTGCATGGGTTTAAATGCATATACACACTTAGATTTTTTGCCGAGATGGGCACCACCGAGCAGCTCGGCATTTTATTTTGCTGGCTGTCAGTGCAAAACTTGCCGAGATTCAGCAGCTTTTTAGAGGCTGCCATATATTTTTTTTTAAACTTTATTAGAGAGATTTTTAGCCGTTGGCTAGTTCATCTCTATATGCTGCCATATTTGATTTTGGTCCATCATCTTGGATTTGTGGAAGCCATCTTGGGTTTTTAATTTCATGCGGAATGCTGACCTGAGTTTAGAAATATCCCAGACTCTAGAATTTAACATATCTTCTAATCCTATGATTTCAATGATTTCGATCTGGGTTGATATTGATGCTGGTTGATTTTGGGAATCGAAAGGATGATTTTTGTGGTGATGATGGCCCTTATTACGAGTGTCACTTCGTGGTGAAAACGATGTGAAGTGACTTGTCACTCAAGGTGAAGTGATTGCCGTGTAAACCAAATGGGAATTAATTTTTATCATAGAATTCAATCGTAAAATCCAGTTGCATTTTCAGTAAGTCCATCGTAAAATAGATAGATTAATCACAGACAAACAGACGTAACTCTTTGAAAAACTTGGTCTTGAAAACATAGTATCTCAAAACATATAACCTCAGTAGCGACATCTATCTGGCTTCTCGCGGAAAACAAGCTTGCTCGCTAATTCGTAAACAATATTGCATAAAAGTTCTATATAATATATAGAAACGTCAAAGTGATCCGATGCCAGCGCTGCGGCGAGTAGTTTGCGGAACTGATTATATTCCAATCAACCGTTAAATGCATGAACGAAGATACACAATGAAGAGTTACGTCTGTTTGTCTGTGGATTAATGCTATTAATCTCCCTGCCAAAACGGAAAATTTGCGCACCATAGAGCCACACTCTTTGTTTGTTTTCACTGAAGGTGCACTCGAGAGCGCTCTTAATTGTACCGTCAGTAGAAACACAGAGTGTGGCTCTGCAGTGTGGAAATTTTGAATTCTTATAGAAAGGTTAGTAGCACTAAAATATTTATTTTAAGATAGGTTAACTGAAAATTCAATCTAATCTGATCTAATCTAATACAAACGCAGCCAGTACGAGAAAGCATCCTGGAAAATGATAAGGTTAGGTAACGCCTAATCATTTTTCTTGTCAACATTGATGTTTGCAGTATATATCTGAGATATGGCACAAATATGAAAACTAAAGAGCCTGAATTTATAAAGAGGCGATATCTTATCCATTTGACAGGTCTTCTGCTCGATTGGAATGACTTTTCCTATGACTTTGACAGACAATAGATTGTTCCAATTTTGACATGCCGTCTCTTTATAAATTCAGGCTCTTTAATGAAAATGACCAGGCCTAATTGTTGCTGTACACTGCTTCCCAAGTAACAATTTTGGTTTTATAAGGGTTCTGTAGATCATGATTTGGACTTGAAGAATGCTTTAAAACCTCGATAAAATTTGCAATGTTACTTGGGTTTCTTATTACGTGAACCCTGATGGGAGGATTAGTATAATTTTTAAAACTTTTTCTAGAATTTAACTATCAGGAACGGAAACACCAGCACTTTATTTTATCGATGAAAAAAAAAAACGCGGAGTGAAAGCACACAATAATGGGCTTGAAGCGGACAGAGTACGATCCGACAATAGATTAGTCGTATTTTAATGTGTCTATTGCCAATTAAAACTATTTATTTGCACCTTCATTTAAAAAGTTGTTTCACTAAATTTTAAATTAAAAACACTGTCAGTCTTGTTAAAAAAAATCGAGTCTTGCCATTGTAGTGAAGTTTTCCTGTTATTGAATTCTCAAAACTAATCAAGTAAAATGCCAGATTTTTTTCCCAACAGTTCAGCTTTTGAAAGTTCGATAAAAATGACCGAAGTCGGTAATAATTTCTAAGTGTGTTCTTTATTAAAATGTAATGAAAAAGTCCAGAAAGAGCAATCCATCCCTGTCCGTGCGTATTTTCGCATTCGTTTAAACCTTAAATTTTATCACAAATGAAATATAAATTAAGTCTTTGTCGGGGTCTTCGTCAACACTTTATTGGGGCGTTACTGCTTTTTTAAACAATGACTTTTACTGTCGATTTCTGGTGAGTAAAAGTTCTGTCTGACAAACTAAACAAGGGGAATGTTTCATATAGGGGAAATGGATATAATATCGGCCTGAATGCCCCTAATTTGGGCATATACATAAATTCAGCAATCGACTAAATTTTCAATAGCGACCAAAAACATCAAATAGTACCGTCCCAATGACGCGTTCATCTAGATCAAATGGATAAATAGCAAGTTTTTAGCGATGGGTACAATCTTAGATCCATATGCCAACATTAGAGCCATTTTCTCTACTAGTTGGTACAGTTTATTTGTGACTTTTAATCGAAACAAAATTTGGCGGTTTCGCCCTGATGAAGAAATGCAAATGAACCGTAAATATCATATACCGCGCAACCAACGGTCATTTCAAACGCCGAAAAGAGCTTCAAAAAAAGCTCTACATGAAAGTCCCTCTATCAAACAGCGCTGCTGCCAGTCTACCAAACAATTCACACGATTAACTCAATGAAGGAAAGTAATAAAACAAACGAACAAAACAAAATCAGAAATCGTAAACATTCTACAGCTGATCACTTTTGATTGGAGTTTTCGAGCTTGCAGCATCTATTTCTACCGACTGATAAGCCATCGAATAACCAACGTTACATTCCTTTTGCAGAGAGCGCATCAAACAACTGACCGAAACGGAGAAATAAAAATGGCCGTCGCCAATCAAACCAACCAGTTCTACGAGGGCTGCGGCCGCGAGGGTCCCATCCGGTGCATTCTGCTGAGTGAATTCCATGCCGTGGCTGGCTCGAAAATCAGCTGTCAGGTCCCGGATAACTACATCTCGAAGGAAGTGTTCGATTCGATTCGGTTCTTCATCATTCCCAAACCGCAACTGCAACGATGCACACTGACCGTGTAAGTAAATCTGTTCTGTTGAATTTTCTTGTGACGGTATTAGATTTGGTTGTTTTTAGAAACGCTCTCGGGCACAAAGTGATCGGCTATCCGGTTCGAATCGATCACCAACGCTACCCAAGGAACGCTTTCTACTTCAATCTGTGCTTCGTATGCGACAGCTGGGCTCGTTCCGTTCAGTACGAACCCGTCGTCAAGAAACTATCCGAATACCTGTTGATGATGGAGGAGGAAACCGCTTTCCTATCCACCCCGGACAATAATACTCGCATACAGAATCTGCTGAGTAGCATCCTTCGTGATCTGAATGAAAAACAGGTGGCGACGATCGTTGAGGGGGAGACTACCATTTATCTGAAAATTTCCAAACTGAAACCGGATCCTCCTCCAGTTCAGGACCACCAAGTCCCCCTTCTCTGCAAGGGATTCGAAAACATCTCGTTGGAATCGTGGGACCTGACCACCCAGCAGGTGGTACCATTCATCAACGGTATAAGTCACGTTGCACGGATATCAGCCGAATCGGACGTGGAAAATCAGCTGGTCAAATCTTGCATCCAGAATCTGGTTTATTATGGGGTGGTCCTGTTGCTTCCGCTGCTCAAGTACAGCAACGTCTATATGTGCACCCGGAATCTTCAAAATCTGAGCAAAGACCACCGGTTTGCCGAAGACTGTCGCCGGTACGTTCAATTGCTGCACGCTGAAAACGAACCGAAGCGATTGCCTTCGCTTCACAAGATTCTCCAACTGTACTCGCAGATGACTCATGGAGTGACGTTGCGAGCCCTCTGCCAGCGACTCTGTCCCCGGGACAACGGAATCGACGAACGAAAGCTGGTGACGTTTGGGCTGCAGCACAGTTTGATTCGCTGCATTAACAAGTATCCGATTTTTACCGGATCGTATCCCAGCCCGAGGCATAAGTTGTACACGGGGCTGAACAGTTTGGACGAGATTTGCTGCAAGACTGGACTGTCGCCGAGTCGGATTGAGGAGGACATCGATGTCGACTCGAATGTGACGGTTATTTGGAAGTGAAGGGGGAGGTTAATTATTTCGGATTTTTTGTCCTGCGAATGCCGATGCATAAAGGTTTGTTAGAAGTATTTCGAATTGAGACATGGTTTGTTTTTATATTCGATTTCAAAGAACATCCTTGTGCATGTCTGTCATTTTTGATATAAGACTTGAATGCAACATTTATTTTGATTTGACTTGTATGCAGGAAACTGGTATACTGGGTTCGTTCAACATGTTCGAAATGTGTAGAACAGTTATTTTTGCGCGCGCTTATGGCGCTGAGCTGATTAATTGAACATGCTGCGACCTGCGACCAGAAACCTACATGGTATGAAAAATACTTAAAATTAAGTTTAAAAACTCAACGTTGGGTTCTATCCAGGCTTGCCTAAACTCCTCGAACTCAGATTATGCCGTATAGATGCTCATTCATCGTGAGCCAGTTCATCCCTCGCATATAAAGAGCAATGGTGTCAAATCCAAAGAGCGCAAAAGAGCTCGAGCTCAGATTGATGCTCAAGATGGACTTCCACAAACACGCAACACGATGAGGGATGCGGGGTTCGTTCTTGAGTTAGGCGTGATTTATATCGGCTCTGCTCACCAAACAACATTTTGAACTTCGGGATGGACTCGGTGAAACCGTAAATATAGAGCTTCGTTATGCATTCGGAGAGAGCACGCACGGCCTTTGATTTATGCACGGTTCTTCCATTCAGTATTATGATACACAACAATACATACAATGGACTATAGGATCATTCCCAGAGAACGTAACATTTTGAGAAATTGATGTTTTTTTTTGTAACTCGGGACCACTTTTTGGGTTACTCAAACTCAGTCACAAAAATCTTTGATCGTTTTTTCCGCGCTGAGATTAAAGGGTGATACGGTCAAAATTTGGTCAAGGGAAAACGCGTGTAAATCGGTGAAATCGTTTATTTAAAAAATCAAATTAAATTTCTTTTTCAAGTTCAATTAGTATAAAATTCAGGAAAAATATTCAGTTAGGCTTCCGCTTTTCCAAATCCGAATTGCCGGGCCTTACGCTTGACCCCTGCCATCAGATTTTGTACAGCCACCTTGTCCACCTTCTTCGCCGCAGAAAGCCAGTTTGCCTTGAACTGCTGCTCGCCCTTAGCAGTTTTTTTGGTCTTCTTTAGGTTCCGCTTGACAATAGCCCAGTATTTCTCAATTGGGCGGAGGCTCTGGCGTGTTGGGAGGGTTCTTGTCCTTGGGAACCACCTGCACGTTGTTGGCGGCGTACCACTCCATGGCCTTTTTACCGTAATGGCAAGATGCCAAATCCGGCCAAAACAGTACGGAACAACCGTGTTTCTTCAGGAAAGGCAGCAGACGTTTATTCAAACACTCTTTCACGTAAATTTCTTGGTTGACAGTCCCGGAAGCTATGAAAATGCTGCTTTTCAAGCCACAGGTACAGATGGCTTGCTAAACCAGATATTTCTTTGCGAACTTTGACAGTTTCATGTGCTTGAAAACATCTGCTACCTTTCCCCTTCCTTTTGCCGTATAAAACTCCTGTCCCGGAAGCTGCTTGTAGTCGGCTTTGACGTAGGTTTCGTCGTCTATTACCACGCAGTCAAACTTCGTCAGCATCGTCGTGTACAGCCTCCGGAATCGCGCTTTGGCCGTCGTATTTTGTTTATCATCGCGATTTGGAGTCACTACCTTCTTGTAAGTCGATAGTCCGGCTCGTTTTTTGGCTCGATGCACGGTTGCAGACGATACACCCAGCTTATTTGCGGCATCTCGGAGAGAGAGGTTAGGGTTTCGCTTGAAACTACCGGCAACTCTCTTTGTCGTCTCAGCGGCTTCCGGTTTTCGATTTCCCCCCGATCCAGACTTCCTGGCTGTCGACAAACGTTCCCCAAACACTTTAATTACATTTGTAACGGTTGATTTGGCAACTTTTAGCGATTTTGCCAACTTTGCGTGCGAGTAGCTCGGATTTTCGCGATGCGCGAGCAAAATTTTGATACGCTGCTCTTCTTGCTTCGACGGCATTTTGACAACTGAAGAGTTAATTCTAAAATCAAAATAGGAGCAACATTCTACACACACACACCTTCAAAATGAGGGGTGTTCAGGTTTTTTAAATGCAAAATTGAAAGAAATACGTCAATTTGATATTGACCAAATTTTGACCGTATCACCCTTTATGAGTGAATAAACTAAATTATATTTCTGACTTAGAATGTACGAGGGAAAAACTAGTAAAAGCACTAATTACTCCGTTTATGGATTATCCCTTGGTGCTGTCTTCGTATTCTCCTGTTGCCTTTTAACCTGGGGGGGGGGGGGACGTGCTGTCAAATCAGCCTACTACTGATCATTCTTGTATGAAACTGGTTCCAAACGTAAACAAACGCTGTAGGTTTCTTATCGCTTGTTTACGTTTGGAGCCAGTTATGCGAGGTAGGCGACGATTATTCGTATTTGACAGCTATCTCATTCATGCGCACTAGGAGAAGCCATCAAGAGCCAAGCTCTCTACGAATACATCACGAAGCTCCAAGTTTACTGCTTTGCGCTAGCGCATCAAGAAGTTAAAAGTTCTGCTCGGCAGGCAGAGTCGATGTACACCCGAGAACGAGCTCCGCATCCCTCACAAAGATGCGGGTTGGCAAGAGCCCAGCTTCCCTAATAAAAATTGTATGGGTAATTTGCTTAACGACGTGTTCTGGGTATCATCCAAACCATTTGTGGAATAGTTCAATGATTTGGATTATCGTTCGTTTATGGTTATTTTTTATTAGGGTTGAGCATCAAGTATAGCTCCGTGAGAGCAAAATATTTCATCATCAAAATATGCTGGAGCTCAGCTTATTGATGACTCTTGATGGAACTTTTGGCAAGCCTGGTTCTATCATTGGAGGTCCACTGTTGAGTTAAGGCCCAAGCGCAATGACGGCGGAAGCGGAACGGCAACGGCAGTGGAAAAGCCCGATCTGAGTAAGCCTACTTGTCGGATTGAAAACTACCCAAGCAACCAAAAGTGTTACCGGTCAATCACCGAGAACAATGGCTTTGAAGCGGATTGGCTTTGTACAGCTTTTGTCCTTAATATAATTAAATTTATAGGAGGCTAGTTTATTAAATTTAATTGCTATAGGAAGGCTCACTCATACGTAAATATCTGTGTTTAGCATTATATAAAATTTTTTATTTACTATATCTTAAAACTACATTTGTTAATTTATGTTTAACCTAAAATTTATTACATATATAAATAGTCACCCAGCCCCATACTTAATATATGTAAAGCGTCGCATGCAGCTATATAATGTTTAAAAGAAATTAAAAAAAAATACCATTGAACCAATATAAATCGCGCTTGCGTCATTTGTTCAATGATCATAATGTAAATGAGAAAAAAAGACGGCAAAGTTCCGCACTAAAATAATATAACCAAAAAAACAACTAACTGACTCACCGTGCACAAATCACGTGCACCGTTCACATCCCTGATGGAGCGAAATGGGTATGTTTTCCCATTTCCGGAAGACAACCGGCGAAAGAGAGGAGAAAGAGAAGTGAGAGAGAGTTGGAAAAGGAGTGGATGAAGGAGAAGGGAGATTGGAGATGACCGATGAGGGAGAATGTACGGGACCATCACGGAAGTCGGACGTGTAATAAGTTCGTCGCGGCAACTTATGGAGTTTTTATATAGTTGGAGCCATCTTAAATAGAGGTGATACAGTGATACCGTACTTGCACGCGGTTTATGATTACGGATTCTAATCCGAAATACTACGGATCGTAGATAGTGCGTTCACGTAAAAAGTTCGCGAGTGAGTGTTTGGAGATACCTTTTTATCACGGACCAGCCATATTCCGTGGGTATCATTAGAAGCCGTTTCCTATCCAAGCTCCAGGATTAGGAAGATCCCGTTAAGTTTTGTACAGGGAATCTCGAAGGAACGGCGTACTACTGGATCAGGCCTAAAAAAGAAAAAAAACCCGTAGCCGGGAGAAGGATCCGCTTCAAGGAGCTGCCACGAAACGCCGCTGTCAAACCACGTGGGTTGTGGAAATAGGAACCGGTGTACATCGAGGAACCGCCAAGAATCAACCCTCAAGGAACCCAAGAAGGAACCCCAACCACCGGACAATATACCCATCCCAGGTGCAGGTAGTCGCCGAGGCCCCAAGTTATTTCGGTCGGCTACACACGGCTGCGGAGCGGAGAAGCGGACGTTATGGAGGTATCAGCCTGGTAAGGTCCGGAGGGTTCGCCCCCGCTTTCCAGTGTGTGGTACTGATGTGCCTCTCCCCCTTCCGTGAGCATCTTCAGCAAAGGTATGTCGACAATGCAACTCTCTCTCTCTCTCCACCGCATGGGCCCCAACCGGAGCTGAACGGCCGCAACGTTTCCCTTTTCCTCTATCCCCTCCCATTACCCCCCTCCCCTCCTACCACCCCATGTATCCATGAATAAAAAAAACTGTTAAATGAACTTGTGTGCGTCTTATAATTTCTAAAACTCGAGCCTTAGGTGCATGTCAAGTCTGTTCAAAGTGATTGTTTGTCTGGTGATAGGTCCACTTTGTCCCCCGACGAGTCTGCTTGGAGTACGTGGGCAGTCGGCCCGAGATAAGAGTAGTGCTGAGCTAGCCAAAACTTACAAAAGTTCGGATAAAAGCCCTTTTCTGGCTTAATCAGCTAATCGCAGGATTATGAATAGAATTCTGTTCAGCTTACTTTTTAAGTAATTAACCGAACTTTTAAGTTCACATTCGATGTTTAAGCTTCTAACAGAATGCTGTTTCACTTTTAAAGAGAACTTGAAAGTTCACAAATGGTTCGTTTAACCGTTGGAGGGAATGCTATTCAGTCTAAAAAGAAAACTTGAATGAAATCAACGCACCAAAATAGAAAACAAATATATCTTTTATTTTGCTTCTTACCACGTTCTCTTCTAATTTATTATGAGCTGCTGTGTCGTCGGAAGATAAATGTTTGAAATATTTAATTTAAATTACATGTTTTTAAATTACTTACCGTAAGTCTCGAACTCGAGTCCTTCTCTTTGAAATCGAGA